GTCCATGTTGTCCACATTTGTAACACACAGGTTCATTCGCTGTAGAATATTTCTGACCAGCAGTATCATATGGTACATAGGATGTCGACGACACAGTTCCAGTGTTCATTTGTTCGTGATCCTGCCTGTTCACTGAAGAATTATCAATATTTGGTTCCGATGAAACCTGCATAGTGATAGAACTCACTTTGTTACTTGTGTCTTTCTTTTTCACAAATTTCTGTTTCTTGTGTGAATTCTGTTTCTCATTGGATTCCATAGAATTTCTGTCTTCCTTATGAATATCACTACGAACCAAATGTTCCTGTTCCACTCTCCTTAAAGCTGTTCGAAGTTCATCGAAACTTTGGATGCTGTTGAACAGATATCCAGTGATGTCTTTCAATGAAGAGTTGAGTCCAATCCACAACATGTTGTGTAGCATTGAATTCCTTTCACTAGAGTCAATGTCTTTAGTTTGACGCACTTTACACATTATGTCCTCTAATCTGCAACTCCATGATGTGACATCTTCATCAGGCTTCTGTCGTGCTGAATAAAAATCAGCAAGCACAGCCTCAACTCTATCGACAAGTCCATATACACTGTCCAACCTAGCGAGAATGTCTGATAGTGTTGCTTCAACACCTAAGTTCATAACAGTTCTACTCGCGTCTCCTTTAAGTGACTGTCGAATGGCTTGAAATATTCTATCTGTCGGGTATCCTTCTTGAATTAAACACCGAACTTCATAGTGCCAAACCTGAAATGAAGTTGCACCTTTTCCTGAAAACAAGGACAATTTAGGAATATCAATAGGCAAAACAGATTGTTCATGATAATCTACCATCCAATCAATAAAACTCTGAGGTGAATCTACATTTGGTTTAACATGTAACTCTTTAAAAGCTGTGACAATATTGTCAATCTCTTTCGCTGAAAACTCCATGATTTTACTGAATGAAAAATCAATATCACCTGATAGGTGGAAATTCAAAACGTCTATGGTGACATACAAAGTACACAAAATGATTCTGAAAATCCGTGTGAAATACATAAGTGAATTATTTCAGACTCAATCATTTTTCACAACACAATGTACATGATAGGAACACAAGCATGCGGCATAAAAACTATAAAACGTTTGCATACTAGTCAATGTAAACAAACCCCTTCCTGTAAACAAACAGTATTTCTGGTATGTAAAGATGCACTTCCGGTTTGCAGAAAATGTAAACAAATATGTGCAAATTTCAAAGACAAAATACACTTTCAAAATGCTTGTCAAAGTATGTCAAGTATTTACAAATAATTCATGAAAAGAAAATAAATTTACAACGAAAAAATATACTGAAAGAGAATTTCAATTACATGCTGAAAGTGTTAACTCTTAGATAAGAATTTCTTTAAATGGTAAGCTTGTCAAAGAATAACACAAACACGTGAAGTTGACGAAGACTAAATACTGTCAACAAGATTTGGTAATTGTACGGACTAAAATTTATTTACGCAGTACCAGACGAACAAGCGTGACTACAGTAGTAGAGATTAAACCTCACATGATAATTTAAATCAATTTCTTAACCCACTTACTACAGGAAAGGAATAAATATTCCTCTAACCTCTGAAGTTCTGAAAACAAAACATGAAAACAAACCGACTTCCGTTAAAATCTCGAAACGAATATCGAACCCGATCGCAATTATTGTGATCACAACACGAAGCGGGCGCGGATCTCAGTACTTATTTATTTAAAACTACAGTAAATTAAATATCTATTCAATATAATGGGGTGTATTAAGGGATGATTTTGACGGACAAACACTGATCAGATTCTGGCAACTACAGTACAGGCAACGCGGATCCCGTATTAGACCGCGTCCCCTCCGCGGTGTATTAATCCTTTCCGCGTTACACCGTCGCGGGTTTTGATCGCGGTGCTACCTGAGACCGTGTTTACACCGCGGCGGGGCCCGCTACCTTATTCTTCAGCTTAGATGTTCTTACCTGTAAAGTATTGTCGATTTTTAATCGTGTCGAAATGAGGAGGGGGGGGGGGGGGGGATTACGACCACATTAATATTAATAGATTTATACCATTACATGGATTTTTTAAAAATTCATTTTTAAGTTTTATCAAATTGTTTAATAAAAACATCTTTCTTTTTTTTTTTACCAATGGTCAATCAAAATTAATTAATTCTCAAAAACGTCTGTTAACAGTAATACATGTACAGTATAGGATGAAATAAAGTCGAATAATTTATCGAATATATTAACTTAAAGTTTATTTTCAAAATCAAAAATGCCACCCCAAATGATCTTCAAACTGCTGAAAAAGTATAATTAAAATTTAAAGAATGCCATGATATCGCTTCTCTCTATATGCACTGTAATCCGGTGTTCACAACTAGCCCGTGCAGTTGCAGTTAAATGTAGCTATGTGTTTATTTATCTGCGAGATTATATCAGTCATTTGGTTTCATTTAGAAAAGTACCGTTACTTCTGTATACATGTCTGTTATAAATAATAGCATGAAAAACGATGATAGATAGTGATACATAATTACAATTAAATTTTAACAAAACACGCTTAAGTGTAGGAATACCGTTGTGTAATATTCCGGAAATTTATATTGTAATCATTCGGGTTCCGTGATTAGGATGTGAACGTAAACATCCGCTTTAAAAAGTATATAAAGCCTGAATCGCAGTAGCGAGCGTTCTTTCCAGTTCGAGCTGTGTGACAAACAAGACGTGTGCTAAGATATCAACAGCGGTAAGTGAGGCTATGAAATAAAGTCAACTTACAAAAGAAGTCGACCTTATGAAATAAGTAAGGTCTAGTCTAAGAGGATAACAATAAATAAAAGCTGTTGTGTTTTCTGAGTGGCAAGCCACTCAAGAGGCTAACCAGCAACAGAGGTTAGACATCTAAATCTATAATTCGTCTTGTCGACCTGTCTGGCAACCAGGCTGTTGTGTGCAGTGTGTCTGCCTGAATAAGGCTAGCAGTGTGCACAGCAGTTGAAGGGCTGTCACTTGTACTGACTGTGTCCTGAATAAGGCTGCAGTACAAGCGTCAGCCCGAGGTTGGCCAGCATTAGAAATAGTGTACCCACTGCCATTTTCCCAATCATTTGTAATTCTCTAAAGCACTGTGATTATTAACCTAGATAAGGTTGGCCATTTATTTGTATATTTTGAAGGCCTTTGTAATCAATCATTTGTCAATCATTTATTAGGAAAAATTATATTATATTGGAAATCATCCCCCAAAACCTTGAATCAACATGGTACGACCCCCGATTGCTATCTTATATTCCGCTCGACACGTTACAGTTGCTCCATTATTATGCGCTACACCGTAAGAATATGAACTAAATATCGACGATTTTTTTGTGGGGGGGGGGGGGGTTCTTGTTTATAAAATAATCGCAGGTATTTCTATTCAGAATATGTATAATATCATAGCTAGTATTTGAATGTATTCAATTTCTATTTTCTGCTCTTTTCGAAATTACTAAAATCATGTTTATGAACATAAACAAATTTCAGATTTCTAATTAAACACAAACACAAATATGGGCCCTTAAAATATTTGAACACACAACACAGAAATTAACTTATTTTAATCAGCAAGTTGTCATGCTTCAAGTTTTCAGATGTCTGTGTAACCGTTCCGTTTTCCTCAGGTAAGTTTGGTGTGGAGTGGAGCTTACTCGAAGCGGATGAGAAGCCCCGAGGGAATGACGCTGTCTAGTGTACATACTACCTATATACACAGGATGTTAACTGAGTGTATTACCTGTATGCGTTTTCCTACGACATTGTAAAATGAAGCTGTTTTTTTTCATGTGTACCTCATGAATTGAAATGCCTGAAATAAAGAATGTTTTTGTTGCAGACAGAATCCTTTTTAAATTTTTTGCCTCAAATAAATATTTTCAATAATTTTTATAACAAAAATACCTTTTATTTTACCAACAAAATCTGTCTTTGTAATCTGGCGACAAAAAGGGAAGTAATTCAAATTACATGTCATGTACATATGCTAAACCAAAGAAAGTGGATCATAAACAAGTCTCTCGATAAATAACAATAAAACTTAGACAAATTCGACAAATGGTCAATAAACTGATAAATCAGCGCTAGTTTTATTCGCTAGACTTAAGAAATTGATATACTGATCAAAAAGGAGGAAAAACGATCATGCACGTGCCTTAATAATGTGATATTTTTCTTCTCTCTCTCCTCTCTCTCTCTCTCTCTCTCTCTCTTTCAATCTTCTAACTGGTACAGATATAAACAGACACGAAATAACATAGTAATGGATCATTATTTGATTTAATTAATATCAAATACTTCATTAATTTGTTTTAAAAGCTTTTTTTTTCTACTTTTATTCTTTTTATACACTCCGTTTAAAAAAAAAGCAACAATAATTTGACACAAAACCCAAGGCTAATATCGCATCTGAAAATGATATCGATGAAATAATAATGAAACAATGAATCAAATGTGTTGTTGAATGGCTAGACAACGATGTGCACATCCAGCGAGCGTTACCCAAGGTATACTATATATAAGACAGGTGTGAAACCCCCAGGGCATGTCGTTTCCTGCTCAGGCACTGCTAATCCCTATACACAGGAAATGATCGCGGCTAATACTTAATACACAAAGAAACAAAATTTGTCAAAGAAAACAAAAGTATATGAATTTTTGCATTGAATATTTATTAATATAAACTATAATTTCGTCTGTGAAGTTTATCATCACACCTTCACATCCTATCTTATCTATTGAACACGAAAATCGAGAAATATTAAAATTAAAAAGAAAGACATTGTATTAAAAAGTAAAACATGTTAATGTGAAGGTGAAAAACGATATTTTTTCTTGATCTCTTGTATAATGTTCACGTGCTCAAAGTTAACTCTCGTCATCGAATGCTTTCCAGTCATTTGACAATTTGAGAAAAATGCCTGCACATTTATATAAAAGAGGGAAATACATTAAAGAAAATTAATTAATTAAATTAACTTAATTTGAGAACAGAACATAAACGATGAGAAATAAAGAAGAATAGAACTTTTTCTTGATATCTTGGATAAATGAAATTTAAGTTCACGTGCCCACTACATGTAACTGCAAATGCTCGTCATCGGATGTTTTCCGGTAATTTGACACTTTAAGAAAAAGCCTGTACATTTTATTTACAATAAATCGAAATTAATTAATAAACAATATGAAGATGTACATTTTTAAAAAGATGTACATCTTTTTTTTTAAATGAATGCTGAAAATCGTTCATCTAAACTTAAACAGTCTGAGTTCAACATTTATTACAGTTTGGATATAATATGAAGATTAAAAAAAAAACTAATTAAAATTTCTAGTATTTAATTTTGTTTCTTGATAGATTCTAAATAACACAAAATAATGAACCAATTACAAAGACGTAACTATTTAATGAAATTTTCTATTCAATTTCAAAGATTGATATGTAATTTTAGAAACAAAAATAAAGTTATTTTTTCTTAGTTTAAATTCTATTCATAGCAAAATTTATGAATAAACACATGGGTTTTTTTTTGGGGGGGGGGGGGTTGGTTTGTTTGTTTTTTTGTTACAGGGAAAATTCGCAAATTACAATTCGGGGAGATAACTCCCGTTTGTTTACGATACTAATTGTCAGTAATTGATCGATGATTTAACCGCGGCGGGGACAGGTAAGTGATGAATTTCCCGCGGAGGGAACGCGGTTTACCTGTCTACCTGGCCAAATACCGCGTTGTGATTATACCGCGGCGGGGACGCGGGAAATACGGGATCCGCGTTGCCTGTACTGTACATATCTACACAAAATAACTGCAGGACTAGCAAACCACAATGAAAGACAACTGACCAATTAAACTCACTGAATAAACTTGTAACACAAACTATATACACCTGTCAAATGTTACTGTCAATACAGGTCAGTAAACTGTTTGGTCACATATTAGTGCTAAGAAATAAAGCTAGAAAAAGAATTGGGGAAATTGAATGCTGTGCTCAGGACTTTCTCACATGACTTTCACCAAATTTACCTAACTTTTGATTTATTTAATTCAAATGAAAATAATTATATGAGAAAAAAATAAAAATAAATAAATAAACTGTGGCCAAAATACAAAGATAACCAGTACTGAATTTGATTTAACCAAAAATTTGAATAAAACAGAAAAATTTACCCTTTGCATTTTAGAAATCAAACAAGATCAAAATGAAAATTAAATTACAGCATTCACATGGTTTACTCTATATGCAAATAATTCAAAAATAACAATATGGCATGCCTGTAAAAATTACATGTACCCTGAAAACAGTTTCTATCTGTACGTACACAATACCTCTACTGGCCAGGTTCGAGTTCACAGAACGGTGTGCACACAAGTTCGTATTCACATCTTGCGGAAAGTCACTCTCCAGCGAATCACTCACGGTGCGTTTACCATGCAGTCCTTCTGGCTCTAGTTGAAGGCATCCAGCCCCACGTTGGGCGCCAATGTTGCAGGGGTGGTTAATATATATATGACGTAATGACAACCAACTCCTGTCTAGGGTTCATACTATTCAATATGTTCGAAGTAGGAATATAAATGAATGGCCCTCTCTATGGGACAAGGCCCATTCCATAAAACACCATAATATACTACTGGATGCTTCAGCTTACATATTTCCAGGTCTGTTCTTAAGGTCTGAAGTCAAAAAGTCTTTAAAATTCTTTGTCTAAATAACTCTGTAAAGTTTGACACTGCCAACTTGGCCAAAACCTC